TATCTGTTTCATACAGAGCTTGATAATTCACACCCGAGATTTTTTTTTTTAGTTTGCCAAGAGCAAAGCTCGTAACGAAAATGACAGCTTATGTATTTGCTCAGCATTTTCAGTAGTCCCCAAATTCTTAGAATCAGTAATAATGTCAATATTCTAAAAGCACCACATTTAGAATGCCCTTTTTCTGCATGTTTTTCTCTTTCTCCTCTTGTTCTAAAAAAGACTTGGGATATCTTACATAAATACATAGAATTTTCTTTTTTTTTAAGATTTTTTTTTTTTTATTTGAGAAAGAGAGAGAGAGAAAAAAACGAGCGAGGTGAGGGGCAGAGGGAGAAGCAGGCTCTCCGCTGAGCAGGGAGCCTGATGCGGGGCTCGATCCTGGGACTCTGGGATCATGACCTGAGCCGAAGGCAGACGGTTAACTGACTAAGCCACCCAGGCGCCCCCTGAATTTTCTTTTTTTAATGGATAATTGGAGCAAAGGGAAAATAAATGTAAGAAAAAATAATATGAAGCCGGAAATTGAAAATCTACCAAGTCAGCGCCAACTCCAGCCATGTGCTGGCAGACGAGACCACATGGTGGACTTGGAATGATTGCTGGTGTCTGTAACAGCAGGAGAGGGCCTGGAGCCCCACCAGCTGTGGTCTGTCCTCATCAGTGGGGTGAGGGCCGCCTCCCTTGTTCCCACAGTGGCTGGAGACAGCAGACCCCGGAGCCCAGCGTGGAGGGCCCTCCAGACAGCTGCACACCTGCCCAGCCTGAACTTTGACTTCTCTGGTGAGGTCTGGATCCAGCACCCTTGTTATTCCGAAATTAGTGTTTTTCTTCTTACTTTTCAAGATGTTTATAATCTGTGAATATTGGTGTTGACAGATACTGTCTGTTAAAGTGTACGTACGCAGTTTGTGGAATTAAAGGTAAAAATGTATTACGGTTCTGTTCTCGCCATAGGGAAGGACTAGCCATCAGCGGTGATGAGCATGGAGCTGCTGGTGGGGTGGTTGATGAGAGTGAGGAGTAGGGAGGAACAAGCTTCTTTCCACCCCCCTGTTCCTCTCTGCCACTACCCCCAGGAAGGACAGGGGCATTGAGAGAGGGAATATTGGTCCTTGGTCTCTTGACCTGCAATTCCAAATCCAGGATTATTTTTTTAAGATTCTATTTATTTATTTGTTATGTAGACAGAGAGTAAGCACAAGCAGGGGGAGCGGCAGAGGGAGAAGCAGGCTCCCTGCTGACAGGGAGCCCAATGGGCCCTAACCGTGACCTGAGCCGAAGGCAGACGCTTAACCCACTAAGCTACACAAGCGCCCCACCAAATCCAAGCCCTTTGACACTCATTTTGTGGAAGGCCTGCCCTGCCCTGACGTGAGGTCTTTCTTGACCCCCCATTTATTCATTTCACTGCAGAAATAGTAGTGCCTTTTGATAACAGCTTGCTGCCCCAGACCTCATTTGAAAGTGGTATTCGGTATGTGGCATGCCCACCGGATTGCCTTGCAAAATCTGAAAAATTCTGAATTCCTGAAACCCATCTGGCCACAGGGGTTTGAATCAAGCCTTCCGGCCTCTTCCCTTGGGTGCAGGGGCAGGACAGAGCACCGGGGTGCGCGTTACCAGCCAGCCTAGTGTGGTTCTGGCCTGACAGCCCCAAGTAACAATGCTCAGCAAGGGGAATGCAGACAGCCTCGTGACGGGCCCCAGGCAGCTGGGAGGGATAATTACCCCGTAGCTGCTGGAGGGCCTGGAACAAGCTAGAGACTCTCCAAGCGGAAGGAGCATGGTCAGTGGGGGCTGCTCAGAAATCTGTGCCCCGTCTTCCTGGGTAGGACCTGCACCTGGGTAGGTTGATGCAGCAGCATCGATTTTGCGATGCTCAATCCAGAACCCTTTCCTGCTGAGCTTTCTTCGGCCCTCCTACTGTTAGGTTTGACGCTCAGAGGGCAGTGAGGAGCCTGTTGGCACACACAGGCTGAGCAGGTGGGGAGAGTCAGAGCAGAGTGGGGGAAGCTTTGGGTTCTAGGGCCGAAATCTCCACTGCCTAGTGCTTGACTTCGGCTTTGTGATGTGGGAAACAGGGATTCCACTCACTCACTCACTCACTCACTCACTCAC